CTCGATCAGATTTGAGACCGTTTGGTACCACAATTAGTTGGGTTTGACTCGGTCTTAGAGACTCTGATATGCCTCTAACTGAGTCTGGTAAGAAGTTGGATCTGACTCAATCAGCAACTGTCAAACAGTCTATTTGATTTTTTTTTTTTTTGGGAGTTTTTTTGTAGAGGTTATATTATTTTAGGAGTAAATTACACGAAAGGTCCCTATGCTTTGGGGTAATTTGCACGCTTGGTCCCTAACTTATTTTTTTAACTCGGAAGGTCCCTACTGTTTGTTTTTGTTACGCGCTTGGTCCCTACTGTTTGTTTTTGTTACACGTTTGATCCTTGTCTTACCTAAAAATACTATTATTTAAATAGAAAAAAATTGTAGGGTATGTAAGGTAAGGTGAAGGGGTGAGGTTGGGGTGTGTTTATTTAAATAAATTAAAAAAATCAAGGGGAAAATAATCTTTTTTAGGTAAGACAGGGACCAAACATGTAATAAAAACAAACATTAGGGACACTCCGAGTTAAAAAAATAAGTTAGGGACCAAACGTGCAAATTAACCTAAACCATAAGTACCATTCGTGTAATTTACTCTTATTTTAGTTTTGACTTACGGCCATGACAGATTTGAACATATCTACGGTCATCATCTCGGGAGGGGTGGTTGGTAGCTTGGCTTGTTTTAAGATGGAGTTGACTCGTTTGACTATGGATTCGTCTATCCAACCAAGGCGGTATGACATGTCAACCGCCATTACCTGAAATTACGAAAATAACCTCAGAAATATATAGATCCAACATTTTAGCTAGGAAAAAAAAAAATGCTTACGGTGCCTGCTGCAACTGCTTCTCCATGAAGCCAGTGTCCGTACCCATAGCTAGTTTCTATTGCCTGTACCCAAAAATGTACTTATAAGAAGAAAGATTATTATTATTATTATTTTAAAAGAAGTATTAGGGAAATTAAAAAATAAAAATAAAAAAGTACAAGAATAAAGATTTTTTTTTTTTGAAAATAATAAAGGAATAAGTATTAGGGAAATTAAAAAAAAAAAAAAGAAAGTATATGACTATTTTAAAAAAAAAAAAAAAATTTGAGAAATTTTTTGATAAAGTCCTAAATGTTTTTTTTAACAGAAAAAATCCCATTAATTTGGTAAAATCACATAATCTGTCATTTCCTGTTAAAACTTAATATATATATATATATATATATATATATATATAATGAAGGGTATTTTGGTCTTCTAATAAAAAAAGGTAGAATGGAATGAAACTCCATCCACCTTCCTTCTTGAATGCCAAAAACCATGAAACATAGATTTCAAAGATCCCAAAGGACTTAAATTCCATACAATTGGCAACCAAACACTCCATGGAATTGGAATTTAATCAAAGAACCCAAAAAAATAAATAAAATAAAAACATCAAAACCCAAAACTCACGTGACCAAATGTATGCCCCAGATTCAGTGTCGCCCTTAAACCACTTTCTTTCTCATCTTGAGATACAACTTCAGCCTTGTTTTCACATGAACGCTTTATAGCATATGCAAAAGCATCAGGATCCCTAAAAAAAAAGAATCACATTCATCAGGATATGAAATTTTTATCCTACTTTTCAAAATTTACAATTTTTATTTCACAGATTATCATTTTAACAAAATCATATTGGAGAAAAGTCTATATTTACCTGGACATCAAAGCTTGCATGTTCTTTTCTTGCCACTCAAAAAATGGAGCATCTCTAATAAGCCCATACTTGATGACCTCAGCAAGACCTGAAGCTAATTCTCTATCAGGTAATGTGTTTAATGTGTCTGTATCTATTAGCACACACTGTGGCTGATAAAATGCTCCAATCAAGTTTTTTCCCAATCTGTGGTTTATTCCCGTTTTGCCCCCAACCGAAGAATCCACCTGGAATATAGCAAATGAAACTCTAATCAATGATGTGAAGGGTATTTACGTCTTTTGCACAGATGAGAGCAAAAAAGTACAACTTTTGTCCCATTTGGCATTGTATTATAATTATACCTGTGCCATAACAGTTGTAGGGATTTGAATGAAATTGACACCACGGAGGAAAGAAGCTGCAGCATATCCACACATGTCACCAATGACACCACCACCAAGGGCAACAAAAGTACATCTTCTATCCAATCGAGATTCAATGGCTTTGTCAAATACTTTCATGAGAGTGTCCTATCATAAAATAAACAAAATGGAGCTTTTATTTCAGACACTAGAAAACCATAGATGCAAATATGGAATGTAAAGAAACCTACCATGTCCTTGTATTTCTCTCCATCTGGGAGAATCACACTTTCGACTGTAACATTTGGGTTTCCAACAGTTAAAGCATTAACAACTTTATCCAAGTATAAAGGCGCCACTGTGGTGTTTGTGACTACAAGAACTCTCTTCCCATGAATATGCCTAAAGGATAGAAAAACGTATGTGTAAGAGTTGCGATGAAGATTCAATATTAACTTATTTTTCATTAATGTGATACTAGAAAGCCTTTGTGTAAAACCTGTATTTAAAGATTTGTATAATTGCAGAGGCTTCATCAGCTTTGGTTATTAAAAAGCGTGAAACGACTAATTACATGAAACGTATCATGCTTATCATCTCATAACAAATAGAAACATTGCCATTACTAATTTATCGACAAGCCTCAAATCAATATATCAACTTCAAAAACAGAGATACATAATGTATCATAACCAAGCGGATTGTATTTAATTGCAATGCAAAGTATAGAAATCTTAAGCAAATCGAATTAATCATACGAAAAAGAAGGTGTGTTTCGGTAATTGATTGTATTCAAGCACCCTGAACCTTCCGAATTGATTTCAATAATTAAAAGAACAGCAATAATAATACCTCTGTAGAAGATCCGGTTGATTAAGCAGACCAGATCCGATATAGATTGGATAGCTCCGATCACCTAAATCAACATCAACTACGGTGGGAACTTCATCAGAACTCGACTTACTAGTCTCGATCACCGGAGGAGCAGCTGAAGTGGCAGATACTTTCATTGAATGTTTAGCTGGACGGGAGCAAGAAAGAGAAAGAGAACGTATTGGAATGGGATTTTCGGATACAAAACCTAGAGCGTTCTTATTGAAATGGTGGTGGTTGTTGGTGGAGAAAGAAACGTTGTGTTTGGGTGAAATTGTGGAATATGAGGCCGTCGCCGTCGTAGTCGCCGCCGCAGCCATGGAACGGTGTGATCGGATTGAATGGTGATTTGGTCCGGTGGTTGGTGGGAATCTATGAAGCCATTGCTAGGTATATGAAGAGAGGTGGTAGGTGAAGGTGGGATTGGTGACTGCGGGTCACTCTTGCTCTTTCTTATCGATCACATGTTTTTCGTCTTGACAATTATTTTTTACCATAAAACGACTACATACTTTGCCCAAAAAGGCTTGGAATTCATGAGTTTTTTTAATATCTTTCACAATGATATAAATCGATTATGATAAATATTTCTAAAAATTGGTTATTTGGTAAATATTTATAAAAAATGTAAGCAAAAGGTATCGTTCATATCACTTATGTTATAGATTTAACTCTTATCTTTAAAAAAGAGTTTTTGTGATACGTGAACCACGTGTCCCATTCTTTTTACATTTATAAAAAAGGTTAATGACTAATAAGACTAACATATTTTAGCTTGTGTATATTTATATATTTTTATATGCATGTCATCAAATTTTAATAATTATTATGTTTAAAAACATTATTATTGATCAGGGCCGGTTCTGAGGATTCAAATGCCCAGGACGAAACGGATAAAAAAGGCCCTTAGACCTTAACGTGTAACAATTTAAGGAATTAAATTATGTAAACTAATTTTTTTATTAAAATGACGATAAACCTTATAGCAATAAATATAGCAAAATCATAGTATTCTAATGACTAATAACATATCCTAACAGCTAACCGACGATCCTTGAAGCTCTCCTAGCATTCTTGATTGCAAATTGGTTGATCAACTCTTCGTAGTCTATACTCTCTAAGATTTCGTTCTCGATAGATATCATCGCCAAACCGCTAAGTCGTTCTTGGGTCATTGTGGAGCGTAAGTAAGATTTCACAAATTTCAATTTGGAAAAACTCCTTTCTGCAGATGCGACCGTTACTGGAATAGTCAACAATATTCTATATGCAATGCTTGCATTTGGAAAATAATCAAGTTCTTTCAAAAACTTCAAAACATCTATAGGGTTGCTAAATTCATTGGTTTCCAATGTCTCAAATAATTTCAACTCCGTATAAAGCTCCTCGGCATCAATATCTGATCTTTCTTCAAACTTGAGTGCTTTTTCAAGACGATAACAATATAACTTAAGATCTTTATCTTCAATTCCCCTCAAATTATGTGGAAATAAAAAACCAAATACTTTATCATACTCTTTGAATTGTTCAAATCTTGTCTCAAGAGAAGAAATAGCTTGATCAACAATGTATAAGAAATAATTGACTCTGAAATTCTCTTCAGGTGTAAATGAAACTTCTTCGCTACTTGAACTCTCATCAAACCTTTTTTTCCTTTCAATCAAACGCTTTTGTGGAAATATTGGATCAATACCCATTTCAATAGCAATCTCTTTAGCTTCAACAATCGCTTTTGAAAAACCAGTCTCTCTATAATCCTTGAAGTACCCAATCAATTTGTTTATTTCTGTAATGGCATTATCAAGATGCATATCCTTTGATTGTAACTTCTTACTCACAATATTCACACAGTTTAGTAAAATGACGATAAACCTTATAGCAATAAATATAGCAAAATCATAGTATTCTAATGACTAATAACATATCCTAACAGCTAACCGACGATCCTTGAAGCTCTCCTAGCATTCTTGATTGCAAATTGGTTGATCAACTCTTCGTAGTCTATACTCTCTAAGATTTCGTTCTCGATAGATATCATCGCCAAACCGCTAAGTCGTTCTTGGGTCATTGTGGAGCGTAAGTAAGATTTCACAAATTTCAATTTGGAAAAACTCCTTTCTGCAGATGCGACCGTTACTGGAATAGTCAACAATATTCTATATGCAATGCTTGCATTTGGAAAATAATCAAGTTCTTTCAAAAACTTCAAAACATCTATAGGGTTGCTAAATTCATTGGTTTCCAATGTCTCAAATAATTTCAACTCCGTATAAAGCTCCTCGGCATCAATATCTGATCTTTCTTCAAACTTGAGTGCTTTTTCAAGACGATAACAATATAACTTAAGATCTTTATCTTCAATTCCCCTCAAATTATGTGGAAATAAAAAACCAAATACTTTATCATACTCTTTGAATTGTTCAAATCTTGTCTCAAGAGAAGAAATAGCTTGATCAACAATGTATAAGAAATAATTGACTCTGAAATTCTCTTCAGGTGTAAATGAAACTTCTTCGCTACTTGAACTCTCATCAAACCTTTTTTTCCTTTCAATCAAACGCTTTTGTGGAAATATTGGATCAATACCCATTTCAATAGCAATCTCTTTAGCTTCAACAATCGCTTTTGAAAAACCAGTCTCTCTATAATCCTTGAAGTACCCAATCAATTTGTTTATTTCTGTAATGGCATTATCAAGATGCATATCCTTTGATTGTAACTTCTTACTCACAATATTCACACAGTTTAGTACTTCATACCAAACAACAGTTGATACCAAAAATTCAAAGTCACTAAGTTCTTTTTCTACTAGTGAAGTTGCTTCACTTGCAATTGCAGCATCATTATCTTTTTCTCCAACTTGAAGTAAAGCTTCCCGTACATCCACAAGTTGCAGTTTAATAGCTTTTACACTCTCAACTTGACTTTCCCAACGAGTTTGACATAATGACTTAAGACTCCAAGCTTTAACATTATCTTTCAAAATTTCCCACCTCTTAGTAGAATTTGCAAAGATGGTATAAATACGTTGGATGAATCCAAAAAAGTTCTTTCCTTTAACACACTTGTTAGCCATATCACATAATGTTAAATTAAGAGAATGGCAACCACAAGGAGTGTAAAATGCTCTAGGATTTATATCTAAAAATCTCTTTTGCACTCCTTGGTGTTTTCCTTTCATGTTTGCTCCATCATCATAGCCTTGACCACGCATATCATCAATTTGAAGACCAAGAGACTTTAACTCCTCAAGTGTAATATCAAATAATCCTTTTCCGGAGGTATCATCAACATTCAAAAAACCTAAAAAGGATTCCTCGATAGTAACAGAATTATATGATAACTTTAAATACCTTACTATTATAGTCATCTGTTCTTGGTGACTTGAATCGGGAGTACAATCAAGTATGATTGAGTAGTACTTTGCTTCCTTTATCTTCTTGATAAGTTCTTTTTTAATTTCTTCAGCTAGCAAAGATATTAGTTCGTTTTGGATTAGGTGGCCAAGATAATGCACATGAAGTCCTTCACTTGTGATGCGTTGCACATGCTCTTTGATAACCGGGTCAAACTCTTCCAACATTTCAATGACACCCAAAAAATTTCCATTACCTGTTAAATACAATTAACAAATAAGAAGTGGAATCGGTCATCATAATTAAAAAAAAAAGATTGTTGGTGGAACTAGAACAAATAAAATACAATTTATAGTTACCTTTTTTATACAACTTTTCATTGGATCCGCGAAATACTAAATTATGTTTAGCAAGAAACTTCATAACTGCAATAATTCTTAAAAGCACTTGTTTCCAGTAATCTCTTTCTTTCTTGAATTGCTCATGTTGAACTTTATCAATTGTTTCGTTCAAGTTCAATCTTTTACGCATTTCAAACCACTTATTCCTATTTGTAAGATGATCCAATGAAATTTCGTGTTCTTTAACCCTAGTGGTAACATGGTGCCAATCTGCATAACCTTCACCATCCAATTTACCTTTCGAAATCCCTTTTCTAAACACTTTACAACAAAAACAAAATACCCTATCTAGCTCTTTCGAATATACTAACCATTCTCTATCACACTTCTCCAAATTTGATAAAGTTCTTGTATATAAAGCTGCAGAAAATCGTCTACCAAATTTATCATAGGGACCATACATAATACTATTATCTCTTTTAGGACCTTTTTCAACCAAAATTTTAATCTCATCAGAATTAAGTTTTTCCCACCTTCTTGGATCATATATATCAACAATCTCTTTAACAGGCTCATGCTTTTCTGTCTCTTCTACTTCTACATGCTCTTGATCTTCAATGTGCTCCTCAACATGCTCTTCAATGTGCTCTTCAACATGTTCTTCAATGTGCTCTTCAACATGTTGTCTATGGATAAACTTATCTAGAGCACCGACGTCAACCTTTCTTTTTTCTTCATCTAGTTTTCTCCTTTTACGTTTTTGATAACCGGATGGTTGTTTAGACTTGATCACTACAAGTTCATTATTTTCAACTTTCAACATTCAAGAAATTACAATAAACATAATTTGATAAACAATTTTACAATAAACATAAACTTATAATTTAAACTACTAAACTTATTTCTATGAATCTTATAAAGTATAAACTAATATATTCATTCACTATTCTATTATACTGATTTCCATAGTAGATAAACCGATAATAAAATATTAAATTCATTCAATATTCAATTAAATAGATAATCTATGAAAATATGAATCATTCAAGTATGCAATTGATAACTATAAACTTGATAATCCTACCTGATTGGCTAATAATCCTTAATTTCTCAATTCTCAATTTCTCATAAATCAATTTCTCATAAATCTTAGTATATTACCTGTTCGTCTAGACGTTTACCCTTGCTGAATCGTTGAGTTGCTGTTTAGTTGTCAACCCTTGGTGATCACTTTTTTTTTTTGAACAAACGAAATTGATGAGTGATGACTAAATTACGCTGCCGGCTTCTGTTTCACACATTCATGCTTTTGTTTTGTTCCATGGTTTTCTCCCAAATTATTGGGCTGCCGACGCAAATAGTATATACTAAAAAAAAAATTTTGGGCCCCTCACAAATTTGGGCCCTGTTCCTATGCACATATTGCACTTGGGCTAAGCCGGCCATGTTATTGACTGGGTGTTGTAGGTTTAGTAGTTTTCTGGCATTCCGTGTAGCTTCTCCGGTTATCTTTTCTAGACGAATGTTTTTTGTGCATTTGTTGTACTTGTATGAGTATGTGTGTTTGTCTTCATCATGTGTGTATATCCTCTTTGAAGAAATCAAAACTCAAGATCCAAAAAC